ATGATCCAACTGCACTCAAGGCTCTCTTGGATACCGTTGGGGCACCGTCCAACAGCAATACCCGATTGTCCGGGTGTATTGATCAAGTCAACCATGGATCATTGAGTGGGGTGCCAATCACAGAGTATGGGCCTATCATCAGAGACCTATACAAACAACACAACAAGAAGAATGGTGGCAAGCCCTTCATATTGCACCATTGCTACAAGAACGAGCTGGCAATGAGAAATGAATCCAGAGGAACTTTGAGACCATGCCGAAGAGGTCATTTTTTTGAAAAGGGGGTTTGCCCCGACCTCTGCATCAGAACAATGCAGACGGCCATATTATTGACAATCAAAAGGTCCAACATAAGTCTCGAGGTCTCAAACAAAAGGAAAAAATGCTTACAAAGAGCATGAATGCAAAAACAGGATAGCCACAACCGGCAGGCAAAACAAAAGATAGGAAACTAACACCTATCCTGTTACATGACCGCCATCCAAACCGGTTGAAGATAGCCCGTGCTACCGTCTCCCATTGGATAGATCCAGTAACCAAATGCTCCCTCGCCTCCGTCGGAGTGAGTAGCAACCACATACGGATGAGTGTAGTGGCCCGAAAAATAACCTGCAAGAAATGAATATTTGTTGTTCTGTTAAAAGCCAAGTCGTTTCTACAGTTCCAAACTGCCCATAATAAAGCACATACTCCTACACGGATATGTCTCGCTGTTTCTGCATCAATCCCATCTAGCCACGTCCCAAATAACGTGTTGATGGAATTCGGAGGAGTAATATTAAAAGCTATGTGGAACGACTTCCACAATTTTTTGGCCAATGGGCAGTCAAGAAAGAGGTGTTTGATTGATTCATCACTATCACAGAAACTACATCTTTTAGATCCAGTCATATTTCATTTCGCCAAATTGTCCTTCGTTAGGATAACTTGTTTGTGGACAAACAACATAAACACTTTGATTTTTAAAGGCACTTTGACTTTCCAAACATGTTTCGAACGAGGAATAGCGCTAGTGTTGATAATATCCAAATACATGGATTTAACCGAAAACTCACCATTCTTAGCTAGCTTCCAGCGCAACTGATCGGGCTGTTGAGAAAGGTGGACATCCATCAATCTTCTCACAAGATGGAGCCATGCTTCCCAACGATTTCCTGCTACCATCCTCCTGAATTGAATATTAAGAGGATTGGACTGTAATACTGTTGCAATGTAAGCGTCTCTTCACTGAACAATATTATAGAGAGAAGGATATTTGAGTGCAAGGGGCGTCTCCCCTAGCCATGTGTCCTCCCAGAATTTTGTGGAAGTACCATTTCCAACTACAAATTTTGTCATGTTAAAAAAGACTGATTTCACTCTCATCAGTCCCTTCCAAAAAGGCGAATCAGTCGGTCTTACCGTCACCTGGGACAAGGTTTTGGACTGAAGGTACTTATTACGAAGAATCCGGGCCCAAGTGGCATCCGTCTCTACAGATAACTTATACAGCCAATTGCTGAGAAGACATATGTTCTTCACCTCTAAATTTTCAATGCCTAGACCCCCTTGATCTTTCGGCCTACAAATGATATCCCACTTAGCGAGTCTGTATCTTCGTTTTAATTCATCGCTCTGCCAGAAGAAGCGCGATCGATAGAAATCTAGCCTTTTTCGTACTCCAACTGGTACTTCAAAAAAGGACAAGAGAAACATAGGTATACTTGTGAGAACCGAATTAATCAGAATCAGTCGTCCTCCGTATGACATAAGCTTGCCCTTCCAGCAGCTCAATTTTTTCCAAATCGATCTTCAATGCACTTCCACTCCTTGTTGGAAAGCTTGCGATGGTGGATTGGTATACCCAAATACATGAAGGGTAAAGACCCCAATTCGCACCCGAACAATTCCTTGTAAGCTTCTTGTTCTTCTTTAGCTCTTCCAAAGCAGAACAATTCACTTTTATGGAAATTAATCTTTAACCCCGATAATTGTTCGAACAAGCACAACACCAGCTTCATGTTTCTAGCTTTAGCCAAATCATGCTCCATGAAGATGATAGTATCATCAGCGTACTGTAGGATAGACACTCCTCCGTCAACTAAATGCGGAACGAGGCCACCTACCTGGCCATCATCCTTAGCCCTTCCTATTAGGATTGTCAACATGTCAACGACTATGTTGGACAGAATCGGTGACATCGGATCTCCTTGTCTCAGACCCTTGTGTGTCTGGAAATAATGACCTATGTCATCATTTACCCTGATTCCAACACTCCCTTTTTGCGTGAAAGAGTCTACCTGGTCCCTCCAGGCCTGATCGAATCCTTTCATACTCAAGGCCTGCTGAAGAAATGGCCATTTTACCTTGTCGTACGCTTTCTCAAAATCCACTTTGAAAACCACCCCATCTAGTTTTTCGTGTGGATTTCATGGAGCGTTTCATGTAGGACCACAGCCCCTTCTAGGATGTTTCTGTCCAGCAAGAAAGCAGTTTGAGACGGCTGCACCACAAAATGCGCAATCTGCGTAAGCCTATTAGTCCCAACTTTGGTGAAAATTTTAAAGCTAACATTAAGAAGACAGATCGGCCTAAATTGCTCAATCCTCACGGCCTCTGTTTTCTTTGGAAGCAAAGTAATTGTTCCGAAGTTCAAGTGAAACAGCTGCAACTGTCCCGAGAATAAATCCTGGAACATCGGGAGCAAGTCCTCCTTAATGATGTGCCAGCACTTTTTATAAAAATCCGCCGGAAAACCATCCGGTCTTGGAGCTTTATTATTCTTCATTTGTGAAATTGCTTCAAACACCTCTTTCTCCAAAAATGGGGTTGTCAAAATATCGTTCTCATCCGCTGCGAGTTGAGGAACATCCTCAACCCTCGACTCATCCAAGGATACGAAATTATCCTCGGGAGGCCCAAACAACTGCTTATAGTAATTGGTGATATATACTTTTAGGTTCTCCTGTCCTAAAATCGTCCCCTCATTTTGCTCAAGCTGAAAGATTCTCTTCTTTCGATGCTTGCCATTCGCAATCATGTGGAAGAATTGTGTGTTATCATCCCCTTGGACGATTTTGCGAACTTTAGTCACAGTGCCCACTTCAATTCCTCCTCATGAAGCAGTTCTTTCAGTCTTAATTCTGCCTCCACTTTAGTGTCCAGCTCTCTGGTATCTAAAATGGAGGACTAGGCTTTTAAATCTAGGGATTGAATAAGTAAAAGGAGCCTTTCCTTCTCAGCCTTATATATCCCACTCAGGTGTTTGGCCGACCCCCGTAAGAACTGACTTAAATGCCTAATCTTATTCTGCCATCTCTCAACGTTCGATCTCCCTCCTGAATCTTTAGCCCATTCTCTTGCTATTAGATCCAGGAACCCTTCTCTTTCAAACCATGCTGATTCGAAAGAAAATGTATTCTTGTTCCCCACATGCGTTGCCGAAGAGGTCATGGATTACCATATCCGTCGAAGCTGATAACGAGGAGGATGAACACCCTTTCAGGAGGCAGGACGGTAATTAACAAGATTGCAAAAGAGAGGAAGAAGCATGGAGGCGTCGACGCCTACAAAGATGAGCTTGATGCTATGGTTGAGAGCAAGAAAGCATTGGCAGCCAAACGCAAAGAAGACGGGACGGCAAAGTGGAACGAGCTCAAGTGCTTGGAGGACGAGAAGTGGAGGTCCAAGTTGGTGGCCGAAGAGAGGAAGGTGAAGGAGGAGGAGCGTAGGATTGCACTCAAGGAGGAAAGGCTTGCAAAAGATAAGAAGCCCGAAGAGAGGGTTATCATGTTCATGGACCCTAACGCGATGGATGCCACGGCAAGGAAGTATTGGGAACTCACTCATTTAGAGATCATAGCCCAATCGGAGGCCTCTCGTGGGGGTGATGGTGGTGGCCATGGGGGTGATGGTGGTGGCCATGGGGGTGATGGTGGTGTCTATGGAGGTGATGATGGTGGTGGCCGTGGGGGTGGTGATGTTTTCTTTGGAGATGATGAGCACGAAAGTGCTTCGAACGTTCAGCCGAAACATGCCTTTGGTAGGGCCGAATCCACGACATAAGACATGCAATGTTGTGGTGATTTTGGATCAAATTTGATCGATGTGGTGCCTTTTGGATGAACTTTGTGCATGTTTTAATTTGAATTTCTCGATGATATGAACTATATGCATGTTTATATGGTCGATTTGTTGTGTACGTTGAATTTGAATCGTTCGAATGCTTGATGAATTATTGTGCAATTCTTTGAAATGTATGTGATAAAGGTTGGAAGAATTTGTCAATTTGTTTAGAGAGTTAAATATAGGGGTTCAGCTAGGTTCCGCAACCTTTAGCGGAGCAAATTTTGAAGGAGTTAAGTATATGGAGGCATATAAGGAGTTAAGATATAAGGAATCAGCTAGAGATGCTCTTAGTGGTAAAAACACTGTTTTATTTAGGGCCTAAATGATACTATTCTAATTCTAAGGAATGATTTTCAGACCAAAAACAGCCTCTCCCAATCATTCTCCAATAGTTAAGTTGTTGGTAGCAGATGACCATCTTCCAAAGTGAAACTAAACCCAGGTGTAAAGAAAGAAGCAGTCAATACAGATATTTGACAAGGAAGACGTCACATAAAAGTTTCTATTTTAAGCCAAGTATCGTCCCAGGAGAATGGGGCTTCCTGTTTTAATCCTAGATCCTGTTTCTAGCTTCAATTAAGCACTTGACAAAGGAAACACGACTGTAGAAACAAAAAGGGTATGATGGAGATGATATTTATCAGCGATTGAAAGCAATCTCGAAGTAAACAGCTTGCGTTCAAATTTTCGGGTTTGAATTCAATCTTTGGTAGGTCCATTTTGTTGGCTAATTAGGTATATAACCAGCTGCGGTAGAGAATTAATGCTGGTAAAGTTGGTAAGCATGCATCGGAGATTTAGTTCCACCTCCATACCTGTACTGTTGTAATGGATTTATTCATGCTTGGTTTCTGTAGCAAGTTACTAACCAGTTCTTTCGATTCTTTGGACAGTTTGATCTGAACGAGCAGCCAGCTCCGGAGTCAGTATCTGAACTAAATAGCTTCGCTCAAATGTAATTACTCATCCATCACACATCCATACACTGATCGACGCTGTGCCTAAGATTATATATTTCGCATTACACACACTGTCTAATTTCAGGGCCTTGGAACTAGATGTTAAAGAGATGAGCATGGCTGAGCTAACCCGCTTCGAGGAAATTGTTACAGAAGCATTGGCAGCTGTTAAGGTCAGCTAGTTTTTTTTTATCTCCACAGCATTCTAGCGTGAGCTTTTTTACAGTACCCTTGTACTCCCTCCAGCAGAGATGGAGTACCACTAAAATCTGACCCTTCACTTAGAAGGGTAGTTCAGTCCTTTCTCCTCATGGATGGCTCACATTCATTTAGGGGTACTGTAAAGGAGCTCTCTAGCGTACATTTGAAGTTCACCTGCATAACAATTTCATTTGCAATGTTAATGAATGGTGCACGTATATATACAAAAATGTTTGAGAGCTGCTTATTTTTTTTGTGTGTGTGCAGAGCATCCGTATTATGAAGGTGGCTGAGCTCACCCAAACTGAGGTTAGTTTGAGAACGCTGAAGCTCCAGTATTTTCTCTAAGGCAACTAAAGTTTCAGTATTGATGGATGAACATAGTAAACATATCAATTGTTCATTCACAGTTAGTCTTCATACAATCATACATTGGTTAAGTTACTTTATATTCTTGTTGTTCTTCTGTTCATAGGCGAGATTAAAGAGAGATCCACAGAAGAAAGGGGACAACTGGTCGGGCCAAGAGTCAGGAAAAGAGTGAGCATATACGTAGGCACAGTCTACATCTGCATCCAGACGTTCAGAACCTGCAGCCAATGTTCATGCTTGCAATAGCCGACTCGGTTTATTGCCTAAGATTAGAATGACCTCCTCAGGAAAGAAGCAGCGGGAGCTCTGCTACTGCTATATATCGCCTAAGAACACCGAGCACAAGTATCTTGTATCAAATTCAAATACGCCTTTCTTACGATACAGCCGGGGCTCTGCTATTTATTGCCATAAGAGCAATTCGAGAATCATCATGTTGTTGTATTGTATCGAACATTTGTTTTCGTTCCGTACATGTACATGCTTGTACTTGCATTCGTTTGCACGAGCTCGAGTTCATATGGTGTAAATCCTGGCAAAATATTAGTAAGAAGAAATGAATTATCTGACGAAAAGTTGGTAGTTGCTTCCACCCCTTCCACCGATTCATATCCTTTCCTACCGGTTTTTTTTCTATGCACTCTCCCACCGGTTTTTCCATACTCATGCGTCCTACGATCTCTTCTGCAGTGTCCATCCTTCAGCACTTCAGCAGATCTATTTCCTTCCTCCGAGTCCTGATCCCGAACAAACCGCGGCTTCCAACCTGCCGCCGCTCGCCCGCACCTCCGCGACCTCCTCTCTCACCTAGCCCCACGATCGCCTCTCTCTTTTTCTCCCACGGCGCCCACGGCGCCTCAAGGGAACTGACATGTGCTCGACTTCCTCATGGGGCTTAATGCCTGCTGCGGGTGCGCCCGGGCTCGCTGCCCCCTTCCCTTGTACGCCACGGCCTGCACCACCGCGAGCGCGACCTGTAGCGTGCAGCTCTAGGGTGGTGATGAAAAAGCCGTTTTCTTTCGAAGGCGTTTCTTTCTTCCGCCAGAAGAAAGAAAAGGCGACCTCGCCGCCAGGAGTCTTCCCAGCCACCGCCGTCCGGCGGCTCCCCTCCGCCGGCGGCCACGGTCGTCTCGTCGGTGGTGAGGGGGGTCGCCGGATCCACGCGCGTGGATCGTTTTCTCTTTTGTAGATTAGGATTTTAGGCCGTTCATCGTCTTGGCTTCGGCGGCGGCGGTGGCGGCGTTGAATAAAGTTTCTTCGGATCCTACTCCAACAAGGCGATCGGTCCTATTGTTGGGGATGGATTTGGCAATCAGTCTGTTCAAGCAAGGATTGCGTGACGGCGGCGACATCCTTGTGGTGGACCTGTGTCCTCGGGCTCCGCCGTTGCGACGGCGTTTGCTCCAGCGCCGGCGCGGAGCTTGGGAGGTAGTCCAGGAGCGGATGCAGATTGTGGTCTGCATCGGCGGCATCTGGAAGATGGTGGATCGTGTGCTGGGTTCGCGGTTCGTGGATGGCAGATGTGGTTTTCTCCTCCGGCGTTCTAGTCGTGTGGGGGTGCCAGATCTGAAGTTCGATGGCGTGTCCGGAGTGTTGCCCCGGTCTGATTCGTTCAACGGTAATGATTTTACCTTTGGTGAACCACCTTGGAGGTCCGCAAAGCTGCATATCAGCGATGGAGCCGCTACGAGCTTGGATGTGAAGGTGATCCGTCACTTTTCCCTTTGGTGGCTACTGTCGTGGTTTCAGAGGCAGGTGACGGATGTTGGTGTCAAGTTCAGAGGTTTCTTCAATCTTGATTGTAATTTTACTTCCTGGTTGTTGTTCCTTTGTGCAAAGGCTAGCTTTCCGCTGTCTTTTCAGTTTTGCCAGATCGGTTACGTGACTTGTACTATGATACTTATGATATAAATGAGACACGTATTACCATGCAAAAAAAAGCTCTAGGGTGATGAAGGCGGTGCAGATAAAAAGCCGGAAGGTTGTGAGAAAGGTTGCGTTGGGGGAGATAGCTGTGCTACGCCGGATGTACTGAGACATGGAGCAGTTCGGCACCAAGGGTTTCTGTTGGCGAGGAAGGGGGACGCCAGGACGTACGAGGACACGAGCCTTACACGGTGCCGTGGACCTGGCCACCTGGGCCAGCCCACCCCACCCCGTATAAGGGCATACGGGGCGGGCCGGGTGCCCTTATATCTCGCCTTCAGCGAGTCTCAATTCCGACTCGCTAAAGGGGGCGAGCGAGGTGGGCTGGCCCATGAGCGCAGGAGGCCACAACGTGTTTTCTGTTTTTTTAATGTTTTCGTTTTTTCTTAAATTTTGTATTTTTGTTTATATTATAAAATATTCTTGTTTATGCTGTAAATCAAGCATTTAGAAAATTTTGAACAAATATGAGAAAAATGTTGAACAAGTATTTGACAAAAATATTAATCAAGAATTCCGAAAATGTTGAACAAATATTTGAAAAATGGTAAAAAGGAATTTAAAAAATCATGAACAAGTATTTAAATTTTTTTAATTAAGCATTCAAAAAATGTTGAACAAGTATTTGAAAAATGTTAATCAAGCATTTGAAAAATGTTGAATGTGTATAGAGAAATGTTGATAATGTATTAAACATGAAAAAATATATTTAATCATGTATATAAAAATGTTAATCAAGACTTTGAAAAAATGTTGAAAAAGATTTAAAATTGTTAAATAAGAATTAAGGAAATGTAAAAAATGTGTATAGAAATAATGCTGATGATGCATTAAAAAATGATGGTTTTCTTATGTGTATATAAACATGTGAATCAAGCATTTGAAAAAAACATTGAACAAGTGTTTGAATAATGTTAATCAAGCGTTTGGAAACTTTTTTTTGCGAACAAACTTCCAATCTATTCATCTTCAATAATGGCAGTACAACGAACACCAGAAATATAAATTACATCCAGATCCGTAGACCACCTAGCGACGACTACAAGCACTGAAGCGAGCCGAAGGCGCGCCGCCGTCATCACCCCTCCATCGCCGGAGTCGGGCACAACTTGTTGTAGTAGACAGTCGGGAAGTCGTCGTGCTAAGGCCCCATAGGACCAGCGCACCAGAACAGCAACCGCCGCCAATGAAGAATAACGTAGGTTGAAAGGATTCAACCCGAAGACACACGAACGTAGACGAACAACGACGAGATCCGAGAAAATCCACCAAAGATAGATCTGCCGGAGACACACCTCCACACACCCACCAACGATGCTAGATGCACCGCCGGAATGAGGGCTAGGCGGAGAGACCTTTATTCCATGTTCAGGGACCCGCCGCCGTCCCGCCTTCCTGAGCATGACACAAACCCTAACAAGACAGGAAAAAAACGACTGAAAACGGAGCCCTCCCGCCAGCCCTTGGCAGGATCCACCGCGCCTCCATGGTCCTAGGGCCACCGGAGACGAAGCGGACCTGCGGCGGCGCCGGCGAGAGGCAGAAACCCTAGCTTTCTTTCTTGGAGGAGAAGGAGCAGTGCGGACGAGTATATATAAATATAGGCGACTGCTAATGTGTATAGAAAAATGTTAAATCTTTTTAGTTGAAAACTGTTAATCAAGCATTTGGTAAAAGTTTAAAAGTATGTATAGGGAAAATGTTGATCAAGTATTCAAATAATGTTAGTCTTGTATTTGAAAAATGTTAATCAAGCATTTGAAAAATGTTAAAAATATGTATTAAGAAAAGTAGACCATGTATTAAAGCATGCTAAATTTGAATAGAAAAATGTTAAATGTGTATTAGAAAAATGTATTGACATGTACAAAAAATATAGAATGAAAAATAAAAGGAAACCAAAAAAATTGAGAACCCAAAAAGAAACAAAATAAATCAAATAAAAAATAAAAAAAATGAAGAAACAAATGCAAAAAGGAATGAAAAAAACCCTGGAAAAACCACTGAAAACAGCTTATTCCGCATAAAGTAGGCCGCACCCAACTAGCTAATCACGAAACGAACGGCGAGCCGAGTGGCTAGGATCGATCCCTGGGTGCTCCCCATTTATTTCTGATTTTTTAAGTATGTGCACGGTATATGGGGGGCGCGGGCGCAGCACGCGCTGCGAAGGAAGCGGGCGCGCACCCCCCGCTCCTCTTATGGGCCAGCCCATGTGTGGCCGGGCCGCCGCCGTTTTTTTGTGTGTGGATGTTTCCTTTTTCTTTTTTTCCTTTTCTTTTTTTTCCAATAATTTGGGATATCAAAAAGATGCTTGGTAATTCAAAAATAGTTCATGAATTTGGAAAAAAATGTTCACAAATTTAAAAAAAGTTCATGAATTTAAAATAATGTTCATGATTTCAAAAAAATGTTCGTGAAATTGAAAAATATTCACAAAATAAATAAATCATGATTACAGAAAAATGCTCCAGAATTCAGAAACTGTTCACGAATTTGCAAAACAAATTGTTCACAAAATTTAAAAAATGTTCATAACTAAAAAACTTGAAACAAATGTTCACTAATTCGAAAAATGTTCACGAATTTGGAAAAAATGTTCATGATTCAAAAAAATATTCACAAATTTGGAAAAAATGTTCACAATTCAAAAAAAATGTTCGCTAAATTCTAAAAATGTTCACAAATTTGGAAAAAATGTTTATGATTTCGAAAAAGTAGTCTTTAATTTTAAAACGTTCATTATTTTAAAAAAAGTTCATGACATAAGAGAATGTTCACAAATTTCTAAACAAATTGTTCATGATTTCGAAAAAAATGTTTGTGACTTTTTAAAAAATGTTCTCTGTTTCCATAAAAAATCTTCATGATTTAAGAGTAACTATTTAGTAAAAATAAAACTACGATTTTGGAAAAAATATTCTTCATTAAAAAAATACGATCTTAGAAAAAATCGTGAATTAATAGATTTTCAGAAATTAAAAAAAAGAATAAAAATGAAAACATCAAAGTAAAGAAAAAAAGAAAATAAAACAGAAAAAGGGGGGAAACGAAAAAAGAAAAAAAAACCGAAAGAAAAACATAAAAACCAGGTTCAGGCAAGGTTCTAGAACCTTCCCAAAACCGGTTGGGGTTAAACCCCGAAATGGGCCAGCCCATAGGAACAGCAGCGAGCGAGGCGGGGGTACGCGCCACGGCGCTCGCGGGCGCGGTACGTGCTGTATAGGATCCCCGTGGTAAACGGGC